GGAGAAGCTGATCCTCAGTCACAGCACAGGGTGATGCTATCAGTGTCACCAGAGCTGTCACCGCAGCGTGGGCACTGCCACCCTCATCATCCATCCCAGGGCTGGCTCTGCTCCCTGCCTGGGAAGCAGAGAGATCCTTCTGCCAAGGAAATTCAAAGGAGCCGAGTGACAAACTGACAAACTTCCCTTTCCATCTTTTTTTTTTTTTATTTTTTTCCCCTTTAATTTCTTTTTTGGAAAAGCTTTGGAGAAATTTCTGAAAGGGCTGTCTCAGCAACTTCCCTTCTGCTTCATCACTCGGAGCACTGCAACATCATCAAATTAGTCAAAAGAAAACAGTGGTGCCTCTCATTTCTCCAAACAGCCAGATGCTCTTTCCAAGGGGAGGCAGCATCCCAGGCTCTGCCAGGCACCAGTGGGGGAGGGCAGGATTCCTCTTTCCTTTTTAAAGCATCAGATTTGGCTTTCAGATCACAAAAAACCCTCAAAAAGGGTTTTGGGTCTCTCCGGGTCCAAGAGATCTGGCCAAGAGTGTGTGATGAGAGGGATCCTGGATTCTGGATCTGGCTTTTGGGAGTTAATCAAACCAATGGCTTCCATCTTCAGCATTGCTTCCAAAGATATCAAAATGGGGATTAAAAACATCTCATGGAATGGTTTGGGTTGGGAAAGACCTTAAAGCTCCTCCAGTCCTAGGACTCCTTCCACTATCCCAGGCTGCTCCAAGCCCCAATGTCCAACCTGGCCTGGGGTTTTCCAAAAAGAGGAGCCAGCTCCTCTGTCCCTGTGGCTCACCCAGGGCAGATCCCTGGGGATGGCCAGCCTGGCTCCCTCGAGGGAGCTGTGCCCCCCCAGTGCCCACCAGGATGGCTTTGGGGGCTCTCCTTTTGACAAAACCCCAAATTCCCAAAAGCAAACATTGCCCAGGGGCTGAGCTGTGGCTGTCCCTGAGCCTGCTGGAGCTGTGAGTGACATCCTCAGGTCACCCCGTGCCTCTGGGGGCTGCAGCAGCCACGGCAAGAGAGGAAAACAACTCATCCCAAAAATCCTGTTCCCTTCCCAACTCGCAGACCAGGCCCTCACAAGCGAGGGCCAGGAAATATTTGTAAAATGAAGCAATTGATGGTTTTTATTTTTATTCCCCCATCTGTGCTCGGGCAGGGCTGAGGCTCTGGCTGCTCTCAATGGGCTTTTCTCTGCCTGCCTCACTCCAAAAGGACAGAGCCGGATCCTTGTGGGCAGCCCCATCCGGGGGAGGCTCAGGGCAGGCACAGCACCAGGGACAGCCCCAGGTCACTCTGGGGCTTTGTCACAGCCACCCTTGGCTGTGCTTTCCCAGCAGGGCCAGCGCCTCAGTGCTGTGCTCGTGCAGCCATCAATCCATGGGGAGGAGAAGAGCAGCAGGAATCTGCTCCTGCCACACCTGCAGGCACACAGGAGATGTGGAGCACCCAGGTTGTCGGGATCTTTAGCTGGTCACAGTGACCCCAAGAAAAGTTAGAAAGTCTCTTTTCCCAGCCCAGCACTTGAAGAAGGAGTCAGGGCTCTTCATTTCTTGCTCTCAAGGTTGTTCATTGTTTCTTATCTTTTAAAAATTTTCTCCTGCCCTGCCGAAGTCCGTCCAGCAGGACAGTTCCAGGCACTCTGCCTGCCCCCAGGGCAGTGTTATGTCTTTATACTAAAAACTACCTGTGCAATGTTTACAATTTCTTCCCAATATCTATCACCTATGTTAGACAGCGAGCTTCTACTCTAAACCAATCTGTGAGTGCCAACATCACAGCAGGAGATGGAGGCCAAGAAGATGAAGGAGAAAGGCTGGACACACTCAGTTCCCTCCATCTTGCCCCCTGAACCCCCATACCAAAAACCCCAAAATCTACTTTTCCACCCTGTGATAACTTCACTAAATTTGTCATGGCTTGATGATCTTCATCTAAGGTAGGTAATTTGCTCCATGGGTCATAATCAAACCCAGAGGTGTTTTGAGCTCCCTGCCAGGGTCTCTGAGCCCCCTGGCAGGGTCCTGGCCATCCTGGACAGCCAGAGGCTGCTGTAAATGCTTTTTAGCCAATCATCTAAAATTACCCCTCATACGTCTTAATTCAATGCATCTTTCATAGTTCTATTTCTCTAAATTATCCAGTCTTATTTGCAAGGCCATCTTCTGAAACTTCTTTTTAGTTCCATTTTTCTCCCAGCAATGTCTGTCCCATTCCATAGCATTTCCAAGTCAGCATTTCTTATTTCCAGGTTTGCATACAGGTGCACACTGTGTGGGCCTTCTGTCAGGTTTGGAGAATTCTCCAATCCATCTCCCACACAGTCCCCTGGCAGGCTGGGATCAGGGCAGGAGGGCAGGGATGTGCAGCCGTGGGAATGAGAGGAGCTCTCCAGGAGATTGAACAGCTGGGCTGGCTCCGAGGGGACAGCCAGGCTGGCCGAGCTCTCATCCTGCTAATTCCCTGCTGCCTGCCTGCTGGGGATTACTGGGATGGAGGCAGCCTGGGCAGGAAACCCTGAGTTTACCCTCTGGATTGGGCACAGAGGGATGTGTGGCTGTCCCCGTCCCTGTCCCCAGGATCTCTGTGCATCCCTGTGGATTCTGGGATTTGTGGATCACCACCCCCTGCAGCAGAGATTGGGATCTTGTCACAGACATCTCTTCATGAAAAATCCTTTCCTTAGGGTTTTTCCTCCTGAGAAGCTGAGAGACCTCAGAAACAAAATGTAAACAATGATTATCTGCTGCTGTGGAATGCAACAGGTGCATCTGGGATTGGTCTCATGTGGTTGTTTCCAATTAATGGCCAATCACAACCCAGCTGATTCAGAGAGAGAGAGCCCCAAGCCACAAACTTTTGTTATCATTCTCTCCTATTCTATTCTTAGCCAGTCTTCTGATGAAATCCTTTCTTCTATTCTTTTAGTATAGTTTTAATATAATATATATCATAAAATAATAAATCAGCTTTCTGAAACATGGAGTCAGATCCTCGCCTCTTCCCTCATCCAAGAACCCCTGTGAACACGGTCACAGGATCTCTGTTGCCTTTGGCTGAGGTGCTTGGGTGGGGTTTTTTAAAAGCTGTGTTTTATCTGATTGAAAGCCACTCACATCCTCCCAGGAGCCAGCTCACCAGGGAGCAGCTTCCATGGCCTGGAGGGGCACAGAAATCCCAGGGAAAACGGCCCTTGGGCACCTGTGCCTCCTCACTCCCACCAAGGTGGCCGCTTTCCAACGTTTGGAAGGTGGCCAGAGCCCAGGGAAATATTTTGGCGGCTGAGCATGGCTCTGCAAAAGCAGAAAAATGACAGGAAAAGCACAGGGAGATGCTCTTTAAATGAAGTCTTTTCCTTAAGCTAAAGGAGTTCAAGGACTGTGAAACGGAATTTATTTGTATTTATTTGTCTTCCTGAAATTGAATCAGGAGCATGCTGCTGGTGTGATTTATGCCTTGGGTGCAAATGTCCTACTTTGGTCAGTGCCCAAACCCTGCCGCCGTTAATGAGAATTCTCATTATTGATTCAGCGGCACCTGGAAGGCTTTTAAGGACTGACAGCAGGAGCAGAACAATTCCAGAGGGCATTTCCTCAGTGCCTGTGCCCATCCTGACCCATGCCCCTGCTCTGCCCAGCCCAGGAGCCCCTTCCCTGGTGGCCTTGGTGACACAGGTGCCACCCCCTGCCCGTGTGAATGTCGCCTCTCTAAACCCCGTTTGTTTTCTCCTTGAGGAGGGCTCACCTGGCAGAGGCTTTGCACCAGCTCAGGTGGCATTTCAGAGCCTCTCCCACACCCCAAAAGGTGTGTGGTGCAGTGAGCTACACCTGAGTTACACCTGGGCTACACCTGAGTTACACCTGAGCTACACCTGAGTTACACCTGAGCCACACCTGAGTTACTCCTGAGCTACCCCTGAGTTACTCCAATGTCACCCCCTGGGCTGGGGCAGCCAGCTCTGGGATGTCCCCAGTGCCCAGCCCTCCCCTCATTCCCAGCATCTCCCCCTAAATACATCCCATATTCCCATCAAATATGTCCCATATTGTCCCAAATTATATCCCATATTCCCACCAAATATGTCCCATTTTCAACCCAAATATGTCCCATATTCCATCCAAATATATATTGTATTCCCCCCACATATATCCCATATTCCTCTCAAATATACCCCATATTCCACACAAATATATCCCATATTCCCCCAAATATGTCCCATATTCTCTCAAATATACCCCATATTCCACACAAATATATCCCATATTCCCCCAAATATGTCCCATATTCTCCCAAATATATCCCATATTCCTCTCAAATATACCCCATATTCCCTCCAAATATATCCCATATTCCACCCAAACATGTCCTACATTCAACCTAAATATGTCCCATTTTCGACTCAAATATATCCCATATTCCCCCCAAATATATCCCATATTCCACCCAAATATATCCCATATTCCCCCCAAATATATCCCATATTCCACCCAAATATATCCCATATTTCTCGCTAAATATACCCCATATTCCACTCAAATACATCCCACCTATTCCTCAGTTTGCCAGGCTGAAATCCCTTCCACTCCAGCCTCTGGAAAGGTCAGGAAGAGCAGGGAGAGCTCCTGGGAGCTCAGCTCCTGTTTGTTCTGGGCTGATTTTTTCCTCTTCCCTGCTCACTGAGCTGCTCTGCAAGCTCCTTCTGCCACCAGCTCCTCCAGCCTCCCTTCCCCACCTCCCAGGGCTGTTTTCCCAGGTTCCAGCGGGATTTTGGGGTGCTGTAGGGGCTCTGCTGCAGGGCCGGTGTGGGCACTGCTGTGGCTCTGAGGTGGAGCTCCCGTGGTTGCTTGGGTTGTCCTCACCTCTGTGATTCACCGCCCTGGCTGAGGCTCTGCCTTTCCTCCCTTCCCACAGAGCACTGGCCAAGTTTTGGCTCCTGCGGGAAGCAGCTGGAGCAGGACCCGTGGTGCCAGCACCCCAAAAAGGTTTTTAACCCTTCAGTTTCAGGGAAGGGGAGAACAATCCCCAGAAAGCTCGGATGGAGAACGATCGTGTGCCGGGGGACCTGTGGGGGAAGAGCAACGTCCCCGTGGTCCTGAACAACCCCTGCTCTGAAGGACAGCAGGTAAGAGGCCGAGGCTGGGGCTCCTTTGGGTGGGAAAACCAGAATCCCCAGGGTTTGTGGGAATGTGAGCCATCCTGGTGAGTTCTCGCAGCGCAGAGAACCTGCAGGGACAACGTGTGACCCCAAAAGCTGAAGGTGACGGATCCCTGAGCCCCTTGGGGCCAGGAGCTGGAGGGGCCGTGGGTCAGGCAGGGAATGGAGGTCACTGGAGAATGCTGCTCCTCATCTGACGTGGGATGGGAGCCCAGCCAGGAGCAGGACGCCGAGGCCTCCCTGGGGAGTGTGATCCCCTCTGGTGGCACCAGGCCAAGCTGCATCATTAAAGTCCTTTGGATTCATCTGATGGTAATTCAATAGAGCACTTCAGATAATGCCTTCCACGGTGCCTTTTCATCTCTCACACTCCATGGCCATAAATTCTCAGGCTTCCCTGCCAAGAGGAGATTAACTCCACGTTTGTAGCGGAGCCAGAGACGTCAGGCAGCCCCTGCCAGGCCACCAAGAGCACCTCGGGGAAAACACGACGTGCGTGAGCTCTGCCAGGGCTGCTTGGGGAAAAGGATCTCCCTGATGGGATTATCCAGGCAGGACCTGGGGGACCAGACTGGAGATCACCACCCTGCCATGGCCAGGGACACCTCCCACTGTCCCAGGCTGCTCCCAGCCCCAGTGTCCAGCCTGGCCTTGGACATTTCCAGGGATCCAGGGGATGGCACAGCTGCTCTGGGAATTCCATTCCAGTCCTTCCCCACCCTGCCAGGGAACAATTCCCAATTCCCAATATCCCATCCATCCCTGCCCTCTGGCACTGGGAGCCATTCCCTGTGTCCTGTCCCTCCATCCCTTGTCCCCAGTCCCTCTCCAGCTCTCCTGGACCCCTTCAGGCCCTGCCAGGGGCTCTGAGCTCTCCCTGGAGCCTTCTCCTCTCCAGGTGAGCACCCCCAGCTCTCCCAGCCTGGCTTCAGAGCAGAGGGATGGGTGGCCTGAAGAACACAGAGATTCCCACAGGATCATCCAGTGCCACCCCTGCCATGGCAGGGACACCTTCCACTGTCCCAGGTGCTCCCAGCCCCAATGTCCAACCTGGCCTTGGACATTCCAGGGATCCAGGGGCAGCCACAGCACCAGAGCAGAGGGGCTGTGCATCTCCATGGCCTCCTCTGGGCTCTCCCCAGCAGCTCCAGATCCCTCCTGAGCAGGCCCCAGGGCCGGATGCATTTCTCCTGCATGCAATGGTGTTCCCATTCACTTTTGCAGCCTGGCAGTGCCTGAGACCCACGGGGGACACACCAGACCCTCTGAGCTGGTGCTGATGCCCACACAGGGCACTGGGATAGCCCTGGCCATGCTGCAGGGCTGTACCCAGCCTGGCTGGGATCCATTTCCACCCTCCCTCACCTCAGCACCATGGCCAGGTGTCCCAGCAGCACAGCCACCCTTGGGCTGGGTGTCACCCCACGCTGGTGGCAGCCACTGGGGGATGGCCCTGGGCAGCCCCACGTCCCAGCTCATGGGATTCTGAGCCCAGGGACAGGTCAGGGCTGCTCCCTTTGCCCCAGCTGTGCAGAGTCTCCCTGCTCCTTTGCTAAGCCCCGTGCGTGTCCGTGTCTGTTACTATAAGCACTTTATAACCTTCTGTGTGCAGAGCTTAATTTCTCTCTGTGCTGGGGCTGCCAAAACCGCCAGTCTTAAGCTGCTATTAAACTCTTTATTATTTTTTTTTCACTGGATGCACAGCTTTCTTTTTATCCTTCTTATCCCCGAATCCTTACGCCTGCTTTTCTGGAAGCAGTCTGGTTTTTCCCCCAGCCATTCCCCAGGGCTGTGTGCAGTCAAGGCAGCTGAACTTCTTTCAAGCAGCAATAAATACTATTAACACTGGGGAAAGTCAAGCCAAGTGGGAACTTTCCTTGGGTTTTTTTGAAGCAGGATTGGGTGGATTCACTTGGCCAGGTGGCGAATGCTCACTGAGGCTCATAATAAGGTGCTGAAAGCCCCGCTGGGCATCGATCCCCATCCCTCTGTTATTTTTTACAAAACCACAGCGCATTTTTCACTGGTTTCCCAGCAGCCTGATCCCACTGTCCCTAACCCTGAGGATGCTGAGGTTGTGCCAGGTCCTGTTCCAGCCCGCAGGGACTGATTTGGGAGCAGCCCGAGGGCAACCAGGAGCTCTGTGCCCATGTGGCTCTCAAGGGAAGCGACTCAGAGCAGCTTGTGGGGGTGATTTACAGCAGAGCAGAGGCGCAGGATGTGCTCTGAGCCGAGCGGGGCTGATGCAGTCTGGACGGAAATGTCAGCACGGAGATAAATCCACAGCCCGGCTGCTGCTGCTCTCACCCCGCTGGGACTCAGCCGAGCAGGGTGAGCACCTGCAGGGCCCAGGACAGAGCTGTCCACTGTCACTGTGTCCCCAAGGAGCCCCCAGGGCTCCTCCTGTGGGAGCATATTGGAATTAAATCCCAATATAGCCGGAAGGAACGTGCCTGGGCTGGTCTGGCTCTTGCTGCTTGGCCAAGGCGGCAGCTGTGGTGTTTCACCTCAGAGACACTTTTGGCTGGCTGGATGCTGCTGCTGGGCACTTGGGGGACAAGTGCAGGCTTGCAGGAGTTCAGTTTTACCTCTGGCAGAGAAGCTTTAAGGTGATGGTGAAGGAAAGGAGTCAGTTCTGCTGGAAGGTTTTGATCCAGAGTTTTATTCCTGGCACTCAGGCCTCTGAATGCAGCACCAGCTCCAACAGAACTCCCTGAGCCCGTGGTTGCTGCTCCTTTGAACCCCGGGGAGAGGGGCAGGGAAGGGGTAGGGAGCCACCAACCAGGTACAGGACGGGAAAGTCTCAGGGGACAAAGGACACCCGGATGGCCCAATGTTGACCCAGGGCTGAGAGGCATCTTTTGAACTCTGCCAATCACACGATGCCCTTGCTGGAATGCTAAGATTGATGGACAGCAGTCAGCAGGGGCAAGGAAGGGGAAGGGAGAGTTTATTGGCACACCTGGGTAAAGAACCGGGATACTGAGACAGGCTATTCCATCACACTGCAACAGGAGCAGCCAGCCCGGGAGCCGCGGGTGCCGGCACGCTCCGGGTGGGAGCTGTTTGCATAACGCGTGTGCCGCAGTTGTCTCTCGGCTTGTCCCTCTCCTGAGTCACCCAGATCCCAGCTGCCTCATTAAAACATGAAAAGATCTCACGCTGCCTCCCTGGCACAGCGGCGGGGAGTGTTTGGCTCCTGTTTCAGCACACACACACACACAGCAGCTCACACACAGCTCCTTCCCAGGCTCCCCTGGGTTCTCTCTCTCCTCCACAGCTGCTCTGGGATGGGGGTGTCAGAGCTGACACCTCTGCTCCAGCCTGGCTGCTGTCCCAGGATTCAGCATCTCCATGGGCCTCTCCCAGCAAGGGTTGTCAGGCACTGGAGGTCTTGGTTGAAAAGACAGGTGTCTGCTAAGGAAGGCAGGAGCTTCCCCTGAAATGGAAAATGTAAACCCCCTCCCTCTGAATTGTTATAAATCTGAAATTAAGGAGCTCTCAGGCAAAGATATGGTAGCAGGAATAACAGTTCTTTACTAGGGAAGAAAATAAAAATAAAATAAGCAATGCAGTAAACTAAACAGTGACAGAGTCAGAACCCAACCTGACACCCTGTGGGTCAGGGTGTTGGTGGCAGTCCCATTGGAATTGTGGCTCAGCCCTCCTGCAGTGTCAGGGCTGGTTCTGCTGGGGCAGGGATCCTGTAGAGAAGGATGGATTCTTCCTCTGGAGATCCAGTGGAAGGAGAGGCAGCTGCTGTTCCTCTGGGGAATCCAGTGGAGAAGCCGTGCTGGTGTTCCAGAATCTCCAGATTATATCCATGTAGCAATGCTTGGCTCCTCCCTCTGGGCTCACATCTCCCAATGGGATGCTGTAGTTCTTATCAGCCATGCAGTGACATTCAATAGCTGTTATCAGCAGATGTCCCTTCCCGAGGGAGGATTAGGTGTGGAAGAGATAAGGAAAACTGCCCACTTAACAGAAGACAACTGCCATACAGATGGGAAATAGAATACACAAATAGAATACACACCTTCTCTTACCTTGCAATCTGGGACACTGGAACAGATTAATGGGGTCCCATTAACGCCTGGAAGTGTCCAAGGAATGACACTCGGAGCTCTGCTCCAGCTCGCAGCTTGGTGCTCACCCAGAGGTTGGGATCAACCACCTCAGCGACCTTTCCTGACCTGAATGACTCTGTGATTCCAGGATTCCAGCTTGCCCAGCTCCTGCAGGGAAAAGACAAATGGGGAAGGGGAGAAGCTTTGGGGGAGTTTGAGGCAGGGCAGAGAAGCCCCAACCCACAGTGAAATTCTGTCCCTTTGTCCTCCAGTGGTGGCAGTGTCCCCTGTCCCAGGAGCTGTGTCACCCCATGGTGGCAGCGTCCCCCTGGCCCCAGGGTAGGGAAGGGGCAGGAACTGAAGGTCTGAAGGCTCAGATTTGGCCAGATTTTTGAGTCTTGCATCCCCCCCCCTTGCTCTGAGGATGGGGACATTGCTACATGTGCATTCCCAGCACGTTTTGGGGCCCTACCTTCTCCAGCAAGAAGCATTTTAGCAGCACACTTTGTCAGGAGATCAAAACTCCCATTAAAAAGTGCTGGGTGCAATCAACACTCCCTGCCTGGTGCTCCCGGTTTCTGTCTGGCAGGTGAGGATTGGTTTTGGTTGCATTTCTGAGCTGTTTTCAGCACATTTTGCCCATCTCAGGGAGCTGCTCTGAGCAATCAGGCTCAGAGGGAAGGTGGCAGATTGTCCCCTTTGGTCCTCGGGGTGGGTCAGGGAGCACAGGAAGCTGTTGGTGACTAAAGAATGATTCAATTCTCTTGGAAGAGTAAAACAAGCAGGGGGAAAAAATGACCAGGAGCTGCCACTGCCATGATTCAGGCTGGACTCCTCAAAATTGAAAAAAACGAGTTTAAAAATAGTGTTTTTGTAGGACTGCATCGAGGAGGTTCTTATTTACTGCTGGGTTTGAGCTCTGCATGAGGTTTTTTTATTCAGTTTCTGCAGTGTGCAAAAGGGAGGCTGAGATGTGGTCTGTGGACATTTGGCTTCAAGGGGCAGACTTTGACACAGTCCTTGGGAAAATCATGGGATTTGTGACATGGGGAATGTCAGAGATCCGCAGCAGCACAGCCTGAGGGGTGCAGGGAGCAGCTTTTGGAAACTGCAGGGCTAAAGAAGGTCCTGCTGTGGATTCAGGCTGTAAATCTCTGCCTTCCCCTCCAGCCCCTGTCCCTTGCTCCCAGAATATGTTTTCAGAGCGTAGCATTACACCACGAGCCTCAGGCTGTTTGAAATCCCTCTTTTCCAGGGGGAAAAAAGTTTGGACTTATTGTAAAAATGAGAACTGAGCAAAAAGTCTGGCCAGCAGTGCCAGCAAATGCAAAGGTGTCTGCTCAGCCTCGGAGTCAGCCAGGATTGATGTCTCAGAGCAGCAGAGCAATCCCCTGGTGAAGTGGGAACCAGTCAGAGCTGGAGCCTCAGCTGCTCTAGCATCCCTGCTGCCTTCCCTCCTGAGCCAGCAGCTTCTCCCACCCTGTGCTGGTTCTTTGCTTCTTTAAATTTGTGCTGCTGCTGCTGCAGGGGTGACAGGAGCTCAGGACACCCAGAAAGGAGGTGACACTGCTGAAGGCAGCATCAGCTTCAAGAAAACCAGGTTAATCCAAAAGGGACACCAGCCCCAGGATTGTAGGAAGGGACAGACCCAGTCCCAGCCCGGAGCTGCTGTGCAGAGCCTTGAAGTGGTGCCAAACAGCAGCAGCTTTGGCCAGGACGCTCTCAGATGTCACCTGGAGAGCTGCAGCAGTAGCAGCACCGTGGTTCCAGGGATGGAATTACATCCCTGTGTAAGATCTGGCTCCTGGCAGACAGAGCTCTGCTGCCCAGAGCCACTGCAGGCTCCCCTGTCCCCACTGGCACACATTGATGGCTCTTGAGGCTCTAAGTGCTTGGGGTGAGTAAGGGCCACAGCAGAAAATTGTGGTTTTATCTGTGAAAATGTGCAGAAAGGAGCACCTGTAACCAGTTCTGCTCCTCACCAGCTCTGTGCTGGCTGAGGCTCTCCCCGTGCTGGCACAGAACTCAAGGAGAGCTGGAAGAGCCCATGCCAAGGCAGTGTCAGGGAGCTGAGGCTGGAGAAATCCAACTACTCATGATTCAGCAGCCCCCCCACTTGGATAATTCATCCATCCTCATTCCTATGAGCTTTCCAGCATTGGTATCAGAGGAGCTGTGCCTTTGGCCTGCTCAGATTGATGCTCAGCTCTTCATTCTTCCAGGCAGACTTGGCATCTGCAGAACCTGAGCAGGTGATGCTCGTTGGGAAGAAACACAGCACAGATTTTGGAGGAGAGTCTTCCTCTGGGAAACTTGAACACAACATTCTCCAAGTCACTTCCACCTCTGTTTTTAACTCATTTCCCACAGGTTTAGCTGTCCCATAACCAGACACAACTTCTTAATTCCACTGTGAGTCAGCGGCTCCGTTGTAGGATCCCAAATAACACCAAATATTGGGATAACGCACTTTGTCTGGCTGTGTCACCCTCAGAATTTACTCACAGCCATCCAGCCATACACAATGCTGTGTTGTTGGGACCTCTCAGGTTTTCTGTGGTCGAGAGGACCCAGAGGTGTTAGAAAGTCTCTTTTTCCCAGCTCTGAGAAGAAGGAGTCAGGATTCTTCAGCTGTAGTTTTTAATGTTGTTTATTCTCTGTTATCTATAACATTCTTTCCCTGACCTGCTGAGATCTGTCTAGCAAGTCAGTCCAAGTCACACTGACCGCCTCAAAGGTGGTGTTATCTTTTTATACTAAAAACTACATGTACATTATTTACAATAATTTCCCAATCCCTATCACCTATGTTAGACAGTCTGTTTCTACTCTAAACCAATCCAAAAGTGCCACCATCACCCAGATGATGGAAGCTAAGAAGAAGAAAGAAGAAGGACAAGGCACACGCAAATCCCTCCATCTTGGCTTCTGAACTCTTATTCTAAAAATTCAAAATTCTACTTTTCTGTCTTGTAACAAACTAACTATCATTCTTATTTAAACTTTCATGGCTTGTAAATCCTCATACAAGGTTGCTAATTTTTCCCATGGGTTAAAATCAAAGGCACAGGTGTCTTTGGCTTAGTGCCAAGGTGTCTGAACCCCCTGGCAGGGGTTTGCGCCATCCAGGGCAGCCAGAGGGATTCCCTGGGTTCCAACAGGGACCTTTTCCCGCATTTTGCTGATGAGTTCTGACCTTTTGCTGTGTGTTCCCTCATTTCCAGCCGCCGCCATCCGGGCGCCAGTCCCCAACCAAGAACGCCAACGGGAGCCCTTCCAAATGCCCCCGCTTTGTGAAAATCAAGAACTGGGAGACCGGCTCTGTGCTCCATGACACCCTGCACCTCAAAACTGCCATGGTGAGTAGAGCTGCCCCAAATTCCCCGAGCATCGATGAGTGGATGGCACCATTTCCAAGGTCGATTTACCCAGGGATGCAGAAGTGGAGGAATTCATGTCTTGGTTTGAACAGACAGGTGTCTGCTAAGGAAGGCAGGAACCTCCCCTGAAATGGAAAATGCAAACCCTCTCCCTCTGAATTATTATTGTTTTGGAATTAGTGGCTCTCAGGTAAAGATAGGGGAGTAGGAATAACAGTTCTTTACTAGGAAAGAGGAAAACTAAAAATAAGAACATGCAGTGATACAAAACAACACTGCCAGAGTCAGAGCATACCCTGTCCCCCTGTGTGCCAGGGGGTGTCCCAGCCCCATCCATGGGGGCTCAGCCCTCCTGCAGTGCCAGCTGTGGCTCTGCTGCAGCAGGGATCCTGCACAAGGGGGGAGTTTTCCTCTGCAGCTCCAGGGCTGCTGCAGATGGGCCTGGGCTCCCTCTGGCCATGCAGGGCAGCAGAAA